AACTCTTGAACTTTGAATTATCATTCAAGTATGAATTAGAATCCTTCTAGAAACAAGGTCCCTATCAATCTAGAATTAAGTTTGTAGGTAATCCATCCACAAAATATCAATACGAGGGAAAAAATTTAAATCTTTGGAGAAGACGCTATTTGGTGATCTAGATTACAATTGTAATAATTGTTTTTAGTACAAATCATCTTGTAAAGGATTGTAAGTTGAAGAAACAGTAAGAGAAAAATGAGAAAGTGAAAGATGTGGCGGATTACACAACGAAATGAAGGCTCTTTAAGATGAATCAAATAATACTTTTTTAATGGTGAATAGAGACAGAGAAAAAATGGAGGTTTTCATCATGTTCAGATGATGAGACGAGGCGTCCAACACATGGGGTGTATGATGGAAGTGCATGAAGGAAGTGTAAGTGGAGGCAATTTCGGAAGATAAGATAGAAACAAATGTTTAATGTCAAACAAACCAAAACCAACCATCATCGATCAGGTAATATTTATCATATGTTCTCATAATGTTCCTCTAGATGATTATCGACATGTGATTAAAGAAATTCAAGATGATTCTATAACCATATGACATGCACTAATTTCTACAACTAGAGAGGAGAATAAGGCACATAAGGAATTATATGTAGTTTAGCGAGTCTTAGATGATATAAAGATGAAAATGGAAGCTTTAGACATGGGTGTAGTGAGATTGAATGATGACAAGATTACGTTAACACTTGTAAACAAATTGATGTTGATTCAAAGGAATATCTTTTGTAATAATAGTAAGAGTTTGTATGGAAAAATGACAAAAATCCTTTATAGCAATTCCATTTGAATATGAGAACACCAAAACATGTTGCCTTTTCTCAAATTTAGACATGATGGTGTTGATGATATCACTCACAAAAGTGAAAGTGTTGTTTCTTATGATTTGGTGCCTAATATGCCATACATATATGGAATTTTTCTAATTGAAAAGAATTTAGATTCAATAGAACTTTAAGGATAACTCTCCTTAGATATGGAATCTACAAGTTTGTAGTGATGCCTTTTAGATTGACCAATGCACCCGCAATATTCATGGACTTAATGAATATGGAGTGAAGTTATTCATCACACGACCCTCACCGTATTGTTGAGTGTGAAACTTATAACCATTTACAAAATACCCATTATAGTAATGAGCATGTCTCGATGGTTTATTAACTATAACTTCTAAGTGTCTAACACTTCCATCAGGTGTCTTATACATTACCTACAGTGAAAATATACACATTATGTTGGTTAATGATGCATTGGTAACAATCAGTATGATTTAACTATTTCTACTTACTTTTTCCTCAAACCATTCAACAAAGTATTTATCTCTTAAATCTGAAACTGATTCGTTTGGATTTGTTTTCATGACCATTTCATCAAACTCCATGATGTAAGGGTTAACTTCTTTACAGTTAAGTAATATGTAGGTGTGCGCCTTGTGGAAATCTTTATCAGTCAAAGCTTGTCGTTTTCCACTTTTTTCATATAATTTTCTTGTAGGGACAACAAAGATGCTAAGTGGAGCTTCTCCACTAGAAAAATTATGACTTTGCGGTGCAAAATTCCGTGCTTCTCGATTATGGCGTGTCTCAATCGTCGGGTCAAAATATAATGAACAATAGGTAGCGAGTTCATTCACTAGATGTTCATTGACTATTGAACCCTCAACCCTTGCTTTGTTCCTTATTCTTCTTTTTTATTATGCCCAGTTTCCTATATTTACAAAGTATAGGCGATGTGTTAGGAAATGAAACGTTTTCGAACATAATACTTTAAAAATGTTAGATATATAATAAAACATATGATTACCTCTCGTATTGAAACATCCATCTATAATGTACCGGACCACCAACAATAGCTTCATCAGCTAAATGTATGACTAGGTGTTCCATTGAATCAAAGAAGCTCGGAGGGTATATTTGCTCCAACTTGCACATAGTCTGAATAATACTACGTTTCATATCGAACATGTCCTGAAAATGCAACATTTTCGAGCATAATACTCGAAAATACATAGATATCTCTGATACGGCCTCGTATATCTTTGTTGGAACAAACCCTCTTAAAGCTAGGGGAAGCAACCGTTGAATAAACACGTAGCAGTCGTGGCTTTTGAAACCATGGAAACTGTAATCTTTGATGTTTATGCAGTTTCCTATATTTGATGCATACCCGTCAGGAAATTTGAGCTTTCTCAACCACTCACATACTTTTTGAACTTGGTCCTTTTTCAATGTGTAATCTCCACGATTCTTCCTAGCCTTCCTGTTGTTGTCCCTGATAGGGTTTAGTATAGGTCGATCACATAGCATCTCAATATCCTCTCTTGCCTTTATATTGTCTTTGGACTTTGAGGTGCCCATCGAAGTCTGAAACATATTTTCAAAAAAATTCCTCCGAATATGCATCAAATCAAGGTTGTGTCGGATCAACATGTGACGCCAATATGGAAGCTCCCAAAAGATGCTCTTCTTTACCCAATTATGTGTAATACCAAAACCATGTGGTTTTGCATAATTTGGACCATAGGGTGTACCGTTGTATATAGTGGGAAAATATTGGATTTTCTCCCAAATATATTCTCAGGTTGGGTACGGAACAGGCACTTCATGACCCTTCACTTTCTTGCCTTCTAAAAAAAATTAACCGTATCATTTCGAAATACGTGTCTTTCGGGTAGATGTTTTCTATGACAGTCAAACCAACACGGTTTTTGTCCATTGACAAGCCGGAATGATTTTGTTTGGTGCATGCAATATGGGCACGCTAAATTACCATGAGTGCTCCATCCGGACAACATTGCATAAGTAGGGAAGTCACTAACTGTCCATAGAAGTACAACCTTCATTTGAAAATTGGTCATTCGATGAGCATCATAAGTTTTAATGCCATCTGTGAACAACATCTTTAACTCTTCCACCAGAGGTTGTAAAAAAACATCCAAATTTTGTCCAGGACTCTTCTTCCCAGGAATGATCAATGGAAGTTGTATGTACTGATGTTTAAAATCCAACCAAGGGGGTAGGTTGTAAACAGTGATAAACACCGGCCAACATGAATAGGGAGTTGTATTTGAATTATTAGGACTAAACCCATCAGTACGCAACCCGAGACAAATTTTGCGCGTCTCATTTGCAAAATCAGGATATGTTGTGTCAAAATGATTCCATGCTTTACCTTCACTGGGATGTATCATCTTTTCTTGTTCTATTGAATGATCTGCATGCCAAGTTAAATATTTGGTCGTCTTCCTTGAATAAAAGAGCCTTTGAAGTCTCGGTGTAATTGGCATGTAAGTCAAGACCAAATGAGGAACTTTCCTCCTTCTGTCTTTGTATCTATTTTCACCACATACACACTGAACCAGATCAGCAAATTGGCCCCTAAATAGCATGAAATGGTTTATACACACATGAATCCGTTCTGAAGGCAATTTTAGTGGCTTCAGCATTTTCTTGGTCTCGTAGAAGCTGTTAGGAAGCTTCTCGCTAGATGGTAGAATGTCTTTAACAATCGAAAGTAGTTTATCAAATGACTTGTCTGAAACATTAGATTGTGATTTCCAGTCCAATAATCTAGTGGTCGCGGCCAATGTGGAAGTTTTTGTACACCCATCCCATAAAGGCTCACTCGCTTGTTTCAAAATTTTATAAAAATTTTGGGCTTCAAGATTTGGGTCGTGTGGTGTTTGTTGATAATAAGAAGCCTCGGGTTGATGCATGCTTTCGATGACCATCTCCTCGTATCTACGATAATCACCAAAATCGTTATCAATGTGTTGACCCGTTTCAGGGTTTGAACATTGACCAATCTCGAGTGTTGGATATTTTTCGCCATGTAAATACCACAATGAATAACCATTCATGAATCCTCGGGCAATAATATGGTTAAAAACTGATTCTCTCGGGTGGTAATTAATATTTTTGCATTTCACACACGGACATCTAATTTCAAAAACTTCCACCCCTTCCCTAATAATACGTTGGATGTTTGTTGCTTTCGTGTAAGCAAAATCAAAAAAACAAATTGACATAATGTGGTCATTGCGGATTTAACAAACGACGACTATCAAGTCTCTTTGTATACATCCATTCTCTATTAGACAACATTTTGATCTAAAACTACATTTCCATTTAAAAATGTTAATTAGAATCCTAACATTTCAATATAATAGTGTAACATCCCATTTAATCTAATATGTATGACTAATGATACATAACATTTCAACAAATGATCAATATCATAATATGCATTTTAAATTAACTAAAAATCCATATATAAACATTTAACTAACATTTTTAACAAATTTAACAAATTAACTTAACATTTTTATATAACATATATATCATATTTAACAAATCTAAAACCTCAAATTCAACCTATATTTCATATTTAACAAATCTATAACCACACATTCAACAAAGTGCAGGAGGAAGTAATTTTAACAAATCTTAAACACCAAAATCAACCTAAAACATCACATTCAACAAAAAAATCAACCTAAAACCTTATAATCAACAAAAAAATCAACCTAAAACCTCATATTCAACAAAAAAAAATCAACCTTACTAGCTCACATTCAACAAAATTACACCTAAAACAAAGTAATTTTAAAAAGAAACAAAAAAGAAAAAAAACTAGGGTTTACCTTTGGCTCGGTGACGGGAAAATGCAGCAGGAAGAAGCACCGGCAGTGGCAGTGCCGTCGACGTCGGAAAAGTGCAGGAGGATGAAGGGGCGCCGCCACAAGGGGGAAGAGTGCGTCGACCACTAGAGAGAGAGAGAGAGAGAGTTGTAGCGTTTTTTTTTTTGTTTTTTTATTCTTGTAAGTTGCGATGCGAGAAGGGGGAAGACAGAAAAGGGGCATATATCATTAAATTAGAGACACCGGCCAGCAAAAAAAATTGTTGCAGCAGGAATCGAACTCAAGTCTCACAAGTATTAAACCAATAGTTTTACCAACCGGCAGGGTATGCCGCTTCCTTAATTGTTTAGACTCCAATTGATTTTATTTTGTTTCTGAAAAAATAAACAAAAACGGGGTGGGGTAAGAATTGAACTCGAGTCTCCTACATAACTAACCAACACAATTACCATTCGGTCGGGCATGCCACAACCTTGCTGAGTCAGTCTCCTATTAATTTTATACATTTTTTTTCTATTATTATTATTATTATTATTATTATTATTATTATTATTATTATTATTATTATTATTTCAGGTCTTAAAACTTTTTTTTATGATCGTATGTATGTGTGTGGTTATTATTATTATTATTATTTTTATTATTTTTTCAATATTCAAGTCTTAAAACTTTTTTTTTTCACTATTATTATTATTTTTTTCATTATTTTTTTTCAATAACAATAATATTAAAAATAAAAATAAAAAATGTTGTTAACACACAAACAAACAATTAAAATAATATACATTTAATGTATAAATTAAATAATGAAAAAATATGATAATTATGAGAAATATGTATATTTGTATAAGTATGTATGTGTGTGCTTATGTGTATGTATGTGTGTATATGTAAATGTAAGCATTATAACGTTAAACAATGAGCAATGGATTATAGTGTTAAACCAAAAAACAAGTAATGGATCCCGTATGTGCACATGGTTTTATGAATGATATTAATAACTATAAGTTTGTGAAAATATAGATAATCATATATAATAGAGGTGTGATAAAAATGGAGCAAAAAAAACGACGTCTGGTGCCGGAAAAATCAAAAATAAGAAAAATCCGTAGCTAATTAGCTACGGAATTCTAACGGAAAGCATATTCCGTAGGTAATTACCTATGAATTAGCTACGGAGTATGCGTTCCGTAGCTAATCCGTAGCTAATTAGCTACGGATTAGCTACAGATTTTTCTTATTTTCGATTTTTCGGGCACCAAACGTCGTTTTTTTTGCTCCGTTTTTTTCACACCTCTATTATATACGATTATCTATATTTTCACCAAATTATAGTTATTAATATCATTGATAAAGTCGCGTGCACATACATGATCTATTGTTCGTTTAATGGTTTAACACTATAATGTTTATGAATACGTACATATACATCTCACAAACACGTATACATACACATATACATGTACACATATACGACAACTCAATCATGTATATAAATATACATATACAAACATAATTCATCACAAGTTGGTGAAAAGTATAAACATTACAATGTTAAACAATAAAACGAGTACTTGATCACGAAGGGGCACACGACTTTATAAACGATATTAATAGCTACAAGTTGGTGAAAATATAGATAATCATGTATAGTAAAGGTGTGAAAAAAACAAAGTGAAAAAAACGATGTTTGGTGCTCAAAAAATCGAAAATAAGAAAGATCCGTAGCTAATTAGCTACGGATTAGCTACATATTTTTTTTATTTTTGATTTTTCGAGCACTAAACTTCGTTTTTTTTTCTCTCCGTTTTTTTCCACACCTTTATTATAAATGATTATCTATATTTTCACCAACTTATAGCTATTAGTATCATTCATAAAGTTGTGTGCACATACGAGATCCATTACTCGTTTAGTGGTTTAACACTATAATGCGTATGAATACGTTCACATACATCTCACAAACACGTATACATACACATATACACGTACACATATACCATAACTAATTCATGTGTATAAATATACATATAAAAACATAATTCATCACAAGTTGATGAAAAGTATATGCATTACAATGTTAAACTGTGAAACGAGTACTTGATCCCGAAGGGCACACAACTTTATGAACGATATTAATAGCTACATGTTGGTGAAAATAAAGATAATCATGTATAGTAGAGGTGTGAAAAAAAACGAAGCGAAAAAAACGACGTTTGGTGCCCGAAAAAATGAAAATAAGAAAAATTCGTAGCTAGCTGTAGCTACTTAGCTAATCTGTAGGTAATTAGTATCCGTAGGTATTCCGTAGCAATTTCGTAGCTAATTAGCTACGCAATAGCTACGAATTTGCATATGTAGCTATTCCGTAGCTAATTAGCTACGGAATAGCTACGGATTCACATCTGTAGCTATTCCGTTACGGATCAGCTACATAATGGGATGCCCTAGTTTAGTAACGGAATAGCTACGGAATAGCTACGGACCCGCTTCCATAGCTATTCCGAAGCTATTCCGTAGCTATTCCGTTACTAAACTAGGGCATCCCATTATGTAGTTGATCCTTAGCAATTCCGTAGCTAATTAGCTACAGAAAATTTTCGTAGCTATTTTTCGTAGGAAAACATCATGTTTTCTAGTAGTGTAGGGTTATAGTCAATTGTGGGTTATATGGTGTGATTGTCTTTAAACGTTGATGTTAAATCGGTATAAATATTGGTTAAGACAAAAGCCTTTTTAGTTTTGATATTTAGTGGTTGATTTAGGGCTTAAAAGATGTTGATTGTCAGTTGGGTTCGTCCGTCGCGACGTGGCGACTTGTATGCCATGACGTGGCAGCCTACACAATGAGTTGTATACTTCTGTTTTTAATCCTATGATGCAAGTTGGTATTATTTATTATGTTTTCAGTTAATATATAGGGTTATAGTCAATTGTGGGTTATATGGTGTGATTGTCTTTAAACTGTGATGTTAAATCAGCATTAATATTGGTTAAGACAAAAGCCTTTTTAGTTTTGATATTTAGTGGTTGATTTAGGGCTTAAAAGATGTTGATTGTCAGTTGGGTTCGTCCGTCGCGACGTGGCGACTTGTATGCCATGACGTGGCAGCCTACACAATGAGTTGTATACTTCTGTTTTTAATCCTATGGTGCAAGTTGGTATTATTTATTATGTTTTCAGTTAATATCACTACTAGAAAACTGGATCAATAGCTACGGCATAATCCGTAACTATTCCGTAGCTATAAGAAGATAGCTACGGAATTGCTACGGAAAAATGGTTGTAGCATAATGACCCGTGGCTAAATTATAGCTACGGAACTGCTACGGAATAGCTACGGAAAATTCCGTAGCTACCATAGCTACGGAAAAAATATAGTTATGGATTTCCTGCAGAATAGCTACAGAAATAAATAGCTACGGAATAGCTACGGATCCAAATAGCTACGGAATAGCTATGGACCTAAATAACTACGGAAATCCGTAGTTATTCCGTAGCTAACTTCGTTTTATTTAAAAAAAATTAAAATTTAAAATTTCCAATATTTTATCAAATACCATATTCAATTCATATTTATCCCAAATATCATGTAAAAAATTAAGCACTAATCAATATTAATAAAATACTTTTGTTTATTATCAATTTAATCAATATTATCAACAAACTCAACAAACTGACTAACTTTTAACCATAATAGCTACCTTACTTTTGTTTATAACAATGCATTTCGGCTCCACCTGGTTGTGTTATTTGTAGTCTATAAAATTATGAAAAATAATTTCTAGATGCATGATTAATTATGCTTACTTTTGTCGTATAAGGCATGTTGTTGACTTCTGACCATGTGAGAGTTGATCCAGATTTCCTCTTGCTCCGGATTTCCATATGTTCCTCCTGATAATTTTGAACACACACATATATAATTAATTGATTTATGACATGTTCGAACTTGTAAATAAGTACTTATAAAACCTACGTACTTTGAGTTGATCCAAGGCTGCTTGATTTTCTACATGTAAGGGCAGCGATGTCGTGTCGTGACCTGCAATTAGCAGTGTTAATACGTTGTCCTTCATTTGTGCATCCGTTAGTTTTTCATCGTCATCTTTTCCTTCTGATCCTTCTTTTATATGCTTCTTAATCAATGACCCCAATAAATCTTGTTGCAAATCACTTCCATTTCTTCTTCTTGCTATTATCGTGTCTAACATCTCAAACATCCCATCCCGTGCCTAATGATCAATCAAAACATGGTTCAAACTTATACGACTATATATGTATACACAATTTAACATGTATTCTAAATTTTACAAGTACCTTCGTGCCATGATAGAAGGCAGTCCCTGGTATATTAAAAGGCAAGGATGCAAAGGAAGAAGAAATGATCTTGAAATAATCTCGAAATTTCTCTTGCTCTTCACCAGAAGAAATGATCTTGAAATAATCTCGAAATTTCTCTTGCTCTTCACCCTCAGGCTCTAAGCTCATTATCATGTTTCCTATAACCTTTAAAGTGAACTGCGTATAATGGAAAAAGCGTATATATCAGCATGGACACAATCAAACAACGGGATACTAATATGATCAAGCCTTAATTAGGTCGTCGGATTACTGTTGAAGCTTCTTCAAGAACCAGAAAAGTCAGACTTACCGGTTAGGGTCGATTTGCTTTCTGCCATTATGACTAGCATTATAACAAGAAGGACTATCACATTTAAAGGCATTTTCACCACCATAGAAGTGTTCTTGGCCATGGGTGTTTATTTATTATTGGCTAGCAAAGACGTCTGTTTTGGCTTATACATGGTCTGAGTTCTTGATGTTGGCATTTTATAGTAAAAGATTTGAGATAAATTTCCAAAATGTTACGTTAGTTTTAAGATGATGAGAATAAAAGCCGAATTTCTCATTGTTGCAAACGGCCATTGTTGTTCCCTGGGATTCTTAATTACCACTACAACAACATAACTACATAAGTCCTAAAACTTAGCTCTTAAACACCTTCCCGTATCAAAATTGAATGCATGAATTATTTTCAAAAAAAAAAACTAGGGTTTTACCTTTTTGGGGAAGAATCGAGCAAAGAGGCAGGGAAGGCAGATGCGCCGGAGAAGAAGGCGAGCTGGGCGGAGACGGGTGGCGATGGCAACGTGTCGACGGAGAAGATGGCCGCCGAGGAACAAACGGGAGCGGAGCTATCATCTTCAGTGGGTTTTTCTTTCTGTTCGTCGAAATGGTATTTGGTTCCTCCGCTCATATTCAATTACAACAAAAGATGTGGGATTTCAATTAAAAGCAATATACGGATTTGGTACGGTCGTGCATTAGCGACGGCTTCGCTACGCATTAGCTACGGCCAGCAAAAATTAAAAAAAAAAATTAGAGAAGGGTTCGAACTTGGGTTGCCTGGGTATTGTACAACTACCTTACCACTCAGCCAAGCATACCACATCCAAACAAGGTTGGTTGGCAATTAGTTATCTACACATCCTCATTATTATTATTATTATTATTATTATTATTATATCTATTATTAGCTACGTATTTTTTCTTTCGATGTGATGGTGGTGATGATGATGGTGATGGTGACGGTGATGGTAATGGTGGTGATGGTGACGGTGATGGTGATGGTGATGGTGGTGATGGTGATGGTGATGGTGATGTTGATGGTGATGGTGATGGTGATGGTGATGGTGGTGATAGTGGTGGCGATGATGATGATGGTTATGGTGGTGATGATGATGATGATGATGATGGTGGTGATGGTGATGATGATGGTGATGGTGGTGATGATAGTGATGATGATGTAGGTATACGTGTTTGTGAGAAGTATGTGAACGTATTCATAAGCATTATAGTGTTAAACCAGTAAACGAGTAATGGATCTCGTATGTGCACACGGCTTTATGAATGATATTAATAGCTATATGTTGGTGAAAATATAGATAATCATATATAATAGAGGTGTGAAAAAAATGGAGCGAAAAAAATAACGTTTGATGCCCGAAAATAAAAAATAAGAAAAATATGTAGCTAATCCGTAGCTAATTAGCTACGGATTAGCTACGGATTTCTAACGGAATATGCTTTCCGTTAGAAATCCGTAGCTAATTAGCTACGGATTAGCTACAGATTTTTCTTATTTTCGATTTTTCGGGCACTAAACGTCGTTTTTTTCGCTCCGTTTTTTTCACACCTCTATTATACATGATCATCTATACTTTCACCAATTCATAGCTATTAATATCATTTATAAAGTCGTGTGTACACACATGATCCATTGCTCGTTTAATGGTTTAACACTATAAAGCTTATGAATGCGTACACATACATCTCACAAACACGTATACATACACATATACACGTACACATATACCACAACTCATTCATGCATATAAATATACATATACAAACATAATCCATCCTAAGTTGGTGAAAAGTATAGGCATTACAATGTTAAACTACGAAACGAATACTTGATCTCGAAGGGGCACACGCCTTTATGAACGATATTAATAGCTAGAAGTTGGTGAAAATATAGATAATCATGTATAGTAGATGTGTGAAAAAAACGAAGCGAAAAAAACGACGTTTGGTGCCCAAAAAATCGAAAATAAGAAAAATCTATAGCTAATCCGTAGCTAATTAGCTACGTATTAGCTACGGTTTTTTATTATTTTTGATTTTTTGGGCACCAAACTTCGTTTTTTTGCTCCGTTTTTTTCACACCTCTATTATACATGATTATCTATATTTTCAGCAATTTATAGCTTTTAATATCCTTTATAAAGGCGTGTGCACATACGTGATCCATTGCTCGTTTAATGATTTAACACTATAATGTTTATAAATACGTACACATACATCTCACAAACACATATACACGTACAAATATACCACAACTCATTCATTTATATAAATATACATATACAAACATAATCCATCACACGTTAGTAAGAAGTAAATGCATTACTATGTTAAATAGTGAAACGAATACTTGATCCCGAAGGGGAACACGACTTTATGAACGATATTAATAGCTACAAGCTGGTGAAAATAAAGATAATCATGTATAGTAGAGGTGTGAAAAAAACGAAGCGAAAAAAACGACGTTTGGTGCCCGAAAAATTGAAAATAAGAAAATCTGTAGCTAATCCGTAGCTACTTAGCTACAGATTAGCTACGAAATTCTAACGGAAAGCATAATTAGCTACGGAATAGCTACAGACCCGCATCCGTAGCTATTCCGTAGCCATTCCATAGCTATTTCGTTACTAAACTAGGGCATCCCATTCTGTAGCTGATCCGTAGCGATTCCGTAGCTAACTAGCTACGAAAATTTTCCGTAGGAAAACGCCATGTTTTCTAGTAGTGTATGGTACCACACAAAGCACCAAGAAATCCATAGCAACACCCTGCAGCCCAACAAGATCCTACCGAGCCACCATTACATCCAATCTTAAGGTTCACAAACCGTTTAACGAAGAATTAGGTGATACGAAATAACGAGCAGTTGGATTAGCTGAGAAGAAGGGACATTAAGGTGGCACATGGGATTGATTGGGAATGGATGGATAATACATGAATCATCCAACGAATCAACACATTCTTAGATCAGACGTTTCAGGGCGATGGGTTAAAATGTAGGTTTCAAGGATAGTAGAATGTATTCCGGATTTCAGAACTAGTTTACGTGGTGCTATGTTTGGAATTCTTTAATACTCTACATTTTGATGAATCTTTCACTAACATGACAAACTGATGAGCATTTTCTTTTCGATTATGAGAGTATAGTTGGAAGTGCAGTATGGTAGACCTAATAGTTCGGTTGTGTATTTACTATGCGGCAGAGGTATGGAGCCCACACTTTTCATGTTTAGTTGAGAATACACCTTGGGAACCCCCATAAAATTTCACGCATCATAAGGGTTGGGCCACGTTAATAAATGGGGTATATAATACGAGGAGTTCAACAGAAAGTTCTATACGCTCTCTAGTGCATCACTTCATCCACCGGTTGATTTCATATTCAGTTAACCACATATAAGTGGTAAAAGGTCCCAAATGTTGACCAATTTTATCTTTGGAGCATAGTAACACCGGGGGATTTCTGATATGGTTCTTCATAGGTTAAGAGGCTACCCGAAAGGGTAGAAGACCTTGGTTTATATGTTGATTATACGTGGGCTTGAGATGATTGGGTTAAAGGATCATTGGAGGTTATTATGCAATATTTGGGAGTAGCATGACAACCACTATATGGCACCCATATGCCACAAGTTCATTTCCCACAAGATGACGAATCAGGCCTAAGTTGAACTCGTCATGACGATGACGATGCGTGATCTATTCTTTTTATTTTATGCTTTTATTTCGTTTGTTTGAAAACTATGTTTTATTTTGGTGTATTTTATTTTTATTTTGTATTGTAACCCGAATGATTTTCCTTTTTATTGCACTTGTTTGTTTTTGATCTCTCAGAGTATTTATAATGATAGAATAAAGTTAAGTGAGTTGGATAATAGAGATCAGAGAACGATTACCGAGAGGCATGGCGAATTTTAAGTGAGGGGTGTGATGATTGAAATCGAGAGATGTTTGAGCGAAAAAGTGGCTTTACATCCTTACAACTATGAAACTAACTTATATGACCTGAGTGAAGTGTCTCATTCCGACACGGAAAAAGCATATTATTTTTCCATGATGTTTTGACACACCTGCATAACCACAACACACCACAACACGATACCACCTTTTCCACATCGTGGTGCATACTTATATTGCGATGTATACACAATCAAAATCTCGTCACCACACCGTGGTGACCACTATAACATAATGCGATGTAAGTACATTGCATAATTTCGCTTATTTTCACGACACATGTCAAAGTCCGTTTTCTTGATACATAATATGGTCATACCCAAAGTAGTTAAGAGTCCAGTTGTCCAGCAAAATTATACACTATCAAAATTACGAGATGTCAACAACTTCCACTACAATGATTCAATCTCGTCACTACTATCTCGGGGTGTCTGTCCCTTTTTCTCTGGTTTAGCTTTTATGTGCTTTATTTTTTATGCATATAATGTGGGCATTGTATGAAATTATTTTGGAACAGGGGGTCAAAAAAAGGATTAAAAAAGCATGCTAGATTAACAAAAATAATTGAAAAATATATGCTAGATTCAAACAATTGAAGAAAAATAAAGACTTGAAAAATGGTCTAAATTAGAAAAATCTAGAAAATTTAAAAATTTTCTTTTGATATTATTGCGTTAGAATTAAGTTTGCTAGTGTTATGTAGGATAATTCGATGCAGACTCTAAGGTTTCATTAAACCAATATGTTATAGTATATTTGTGTCTTTAGACACAAATATATGCATTGAGGGGAGACATAATTGGTGAATTCAAATTAGGTTATTATGTGTGACGTTGGTGAGAAAAGTTTTGATTTATGGTATTGAAGAAAAATATAATGTTATAAGTTTTGCTTGGGAAAAAGCAAAAGATAAGTGTGTGGTATTTTGATATCATCATATTTGGTCATAATTTTAATGTGATATTTTGTTGTTTTTAGTTGCATTTTAGTCTTAGATAAATATCATGAGCATGGATGACATTCTAGGAAGATAGGGAGCTAAAATGTTGTGTTGAAAGCGGGATAGCTAAAAAGAATCAAATAAGAACAAAAAACAGTGAAAATGGAAGACCATGATGTGGTCACATGACTACTACGTTGTGGTGAAGAGTTCTAAATTGATATACTTATCGGATGGAGTCCATGGTAGATTACTTGGAGGGCACATGCAGGGGTCGATACCATGGTATGGTAAGTGTTCCATCACGAAATGGTAGCGCATTTTATGGAAACCTTGTCAATGCAAATTTTATTCATTCTTTGAGGGGGAATCTGTGACTATTTAAGACTATTGACAACCATAAAACCCTTAGAAACCCGAAGGAGGCCAGAGAACCCTTTGAAGAGATCGAGAGACGAATACTAATTAATCATTCGTCTTGCTTGATTTGAACATGTTTAATTCAGTTTACTTTGTGTTAATTTGTTTTTCTGCTTTAGTTATGAGCTAATAACCTCAAAGTTGCGTTTATAATAGATGATCCTCAAAAATATTTGTTGATTTCAATGATATTGGATTTACGTAGTTTGCTTAATACTTATGTTCGATTGATTGTTTACCTATCATATTAAAGTTATGATTTTTATTGCATATTACTGAGTTACGTGTAGTTA